GAATGAAGTTATCAATGACCTGAAGCTAGAAGTATGCAGAATAGTTAGAGAAATGCTAAGCACCACCCAGGAAAAAACAGATGGTGGAATGGAAGAACAGAAAAAGAGGGAGAATTGTTTGATGGAGAAAACAGAGAAAGCATAAGAGTATGTGAAGCAGGTTCAAAGGGACTACCAAGAAACTAAGAAGTCTATCCAAGACTGGCATAACAGCTTGAAAGAAACTAAGGACAGACTATCTGAACTGGAGGGTAGACTTGTAATATGGGAGAATGAAATGAAAACTTCTTAAAAATAACAAAGAAACAAACAGCAATAATACAAAGACAATAAGATGATAAGAGGATCCATAACTTAAGGATTAAGAACATAAAAGAAGAAGTAGGGACACAAACAAGTGAACTACAAAAGCTACTCACAGAAATAATCCAGGAGAATTTTCCTAATTTAGCAAAAGGTAAAGATACTCAGATGTATGAGGCATACAGGACCCCAGCTACCTACAACCCAAACAGAGCAACACCCAGGCATATAATAATAAAAATTCCAGAAATTCAATACAAGAACAGAATATTAAAAGCTGTCAGACAATATGTAATCCATTAACTAGTGATTTCCTACTGTTCATTTTTCTTTCTGTAAATCTGTATAACTTGTACCCTTTCTCTACTTTTTTTTCTTTTCTCCTTAAATAAAATTAAAAAAAAAAAAGCTGTCAGAGACAAGAAACAGACCACTTACAAGGGAGCACCCATCAGAATTACAGCAGATTTCTCTGCACAAACCATCAAATTACGAAGAGCATGGGGGGAAATAATTCAAGCTTTGAAAGATAATAATCTCCAGCCAAGATTGAGATATCCTGCACAACTGTCCCTGGAAATTGATGGAAAAACAAGGTGCTTCCAGGATAAAGAGGAACTGGGGGAATTTGCAACCACCAATTCAACTCTACAGAAAGTATTGCAGGATATTCTAAAAAAAAAAAAAATACAAAGAACCCAGAAATAGTGGCGGGGAGGCCACAACGAATGGAGCAGAGAACAAAATGAAGAAGACAAACTGACAGCTACTGACAGAAAAAGAGCTCAACCGAAATGAGACAGAGAAGATTGGATGATAGGAACAGCTATTTTGGAGAAAATGACATCTTAATAGGTAATACTGATTTAGTATCATCTTGTTTTGAAGTCTCATCTAGCTTTTGTTCTTCTGTCTCCAATGGTCTAAATAGGTTGTATCTTATTGGATTTTATTATGTACGATAGTATAAGCAAAAACCTTTTAAAGACAAGGAGATTATACAGAAACCATTGTTCATTTTCTGTTAGTCGATTCTAAATACTCTGTAATGCTGTCATTCTCTTAAATGGTTTTACATTGTTTTGATATACTTAATGCTACAGTATACGAAGTTGTACTCAAGGATTTCAAGGAAAGAGTCAATATGGTAACTACTTTTGGGTCGGGATTATCTGGTGGTGAAACACTATTCTGCTTAAATGGTTATGTTTTGATCTGCGCTGTTTTGCTGTTATGCCCTCTTTTATCTCAATCTCCACTCCATTATTTACTTTTTTATTTTTATCCTTTTAATTAAGGGAAAAATAAATAAAAATAAAAATAGCAGGATATATTATAGTAACCCACTTTGACTTTCTATTATCTCGATTTGAAGCCCTGTATTACTCTCACCATCTTGTTTTTGACTGATGTTCCCCTATTCTGTTTTGCTGGATAGTATCAGGTTCGAAAGTTTAGGCATCAGCTGTGAAGATAATGAGATTCATTATAACGCCCATTCTTGTTGACTTTTATCTACTTTTGAAGACCTACAATGTCTCCAATGTTTTGGTTTTGTCGGTTTTGTTCTTTACTGTTTTGTTCAATTGTATTATAACTAATGATATAGGCAATTCTATTAGAGATAGCGGGAGGCATTATGGTAACCATTGTTGACCACCTTGTATTATGTTTTTACATTATCTATTATGTCCACCCTTTTGACTTGATCGATTCTGTTCTGTTATGTCACATTTGGTTTTACTCTCTTCCAAAAAAGCAGTAAGAACCGTGGGAGCAATGAAACCCAAAATGTGTAATAGTCATTGTACAAAAGAGAGGAAAAGAAAGTGCTCTAAACTATATAACTGCATGTATATTTAAGTATATAAGATAGAAAATGATATCACAGAGTTTTATTAGATCATTGAACAGAACTGTTTGCAGTATCATTGTTGGAATGTCCACTCTACAAGCTTTAATTTTGTGACTTGAACAATTATTTCTAAAATGGCAATATGTAATCCATTAACTAGTGATTTCCTACTGTTCATTTTTTTTCTGTAAATCTGTATAACTTGTACTTTCACTGTTTTTTTTTCTTTTCTCCTTAAATAAAATTAAAAAAAAAAAGAAAAGAAGAGAGAGAGAGAGAGAGAGAGAGAGAGAGAGAGAAAGAAAGAAAGAAAGAAAGAGAGAAAAGAAAAGAAAGAAAGAAAGAAAGAAAGGAGAAACAGACAGAGACGGGGGCAGGACTGGGGATTTAGCTCAGCAGCATAAGCGGCTGCCTGGCAAGTACAAGGTTGTGAGTTCAATCCCTGGTATCACAAAAAAAGAATAAACAAAAACAGTACTCAGAGGGAGAGGGGGGAAGGAAGGAGGGACAGGAAGAGGAAGAGGGAGAGAGACACTGAGTCTAAAACACAATAGATTTTTCAGGTAGGCACCAAGTTATCCCACAAATTTTTCATGATGGTTGTTCTGACACTTCTTTCATCAGATATTCTACTTATATCAACAATAGATGTGATTTTCCAGGAAAAAAAAATCTCTCAAAACCAAAACACCATTCTAGATCCCATACATTTAATTCTCCTGCCTCTCTCTGAATGCTAGGATTACAGGTGTGCACCACCACGCCTAGCTCAAATATATCAATCTCACTGGAAGTACTATCAGTACAATCTCTGCAACTTGCCAAAGCATACATTTAAAAATTTCTATAAATTGTTTGTGTTCATTATGCTTGATTCTTATGCCAAACTGTTTTCTGATGAAGACAGCAATGTGCAAAAGTGGAAACCTCAAAACAATCACCATAAAGCTTCAAATGGAAGCCTCTAAATGATCACCATGAAGGGGATTTAGGTCAGCAGTGTAAATGCCTGCCTGGCAAGCATGCGGTCATGAGTTCAATCCCCAGTACTCAAAAAAAAAATCACTATAAAGCCTCAAATGGAAACCTCCAAATGATCACCATAAAGCTTCGAAAACTTATGGGGGAATAAACTAGGATGGTCCGCAGATGTTAAAATGAAATTCACAACGCTGTAATTATAAAGGTGTAGAGCAGCCCAGACTAGAAGATAAGCCCAAACTACCATTAGAAGAATGAACGTGAACTATGATATGGCCAAAACGTATCCTTAAAGTTCTATCTCATCCCTCAATCTGAATGGTGAGGATCAACCTTCAGTTCAGTGCAGTGAGCCGCTGCCTGTGCAGTTTTCCACTGTATTTACTGTACAGAATATGTATATTCTAAAAGGTCCCTTTACACAGCTGTACTTTTGGTTCCACAATTTGAAGGTGTGCAAATTCCACAGTCATCAATGAGAACAGGCCACACTCCTTCCTCATCATAATGAGACATGCCATCTGCAATTATCGTACTGAAGTCTACAAGATTTCTGTATGTTTTGGTATTGATCGTTTATGATGTTCCAAGAACAATTTATTGCTTAAGTCTAAGACTTTAAATCTTCCATTAAGCATGAAGTTCCAACAGGCAATGGTCATTTCTGGATCTCATCCTTTTTGTCCTAGATTCTTTTGTGAAATTAGAAGTGAACTGGCAAAAATCCTTACACCACCCTGGATCTTTCTATTCTGGGCATTTGAGCCTTTAGCTTTTCTGTGCTGTCACATCCTTATTGTCACACTGTCCAGGAACTCCTGCTTGGAGAGCTCACAATGTGTGCTGCTCTGAACTTCCACGCAATGATCAAAACTCTACTGCTGGCTGCATCAAGTACCAGGAATTGCTGTATATCATCTATTCCAATTTTCTTTTCATCTTGAGGATGTTTGTATCTGTTGTATAGTTGTTATAACTTCTTCCTGTCCAGTGATCTGTTTACACACTCTCATAAATAAAGTTTAGGATTTTGGAAAAAATTATCTATTGCAACATCTAACTTCCAGTCATTTTGAGAAAGACAACTTACTTGGGTTTTTTATTACACTATGTGATCATTAACTGCTGAACTTTATCCTGTGATGATTTCAACCTGTTCATGTTGGTGTCTTCCAGGCCTCTCCCCTCCTCTTCCAGTTCAGCAGCAAATCTCTATACTCTTTTAGTACAAAAACAAACAAACAAACAAAAAAGTAGCCTAGGCAGGCCTTGAACTTGCTTACATAACCCCAGCTTGCCTCAAACTCATTGCGATCCTCCTTCCTTGGCCCCCCAAGTGCTGGAATCACAGGCCTACACCACCTGGGCCAGCTCAATTAAAATACTTACAACTAAATATTTATCCTGCCAGGCATGGTGGTATATGCCTGTAATCCCAGATTTGGAAGGCTGAGACAGGAGCATCACCATGCATTTGAGGTTAGACTGGGCTACAATAATTTCAGAGCCAGTTTGGATTATGTAGCTTAGATTCTGCCTCAATAAACAAAGAAACAAAAAAGTAAAAATGTCCAGGGCCTGGCATATAGCTTAGTGGTACAGCACCTACCTCACAAGTACAACGTCATAAGTTTGATTCCTAGTACTCCCAGCAAAAAACAAATAAATATATTTCTTTTTCCTAAGAATTCAAATGTACGTATTGTCTTCATACTTTCTTATGCCTGAGCTTAAAGTATTATTAAGCTGAGATTGACAAACTCATTAAATTAAAAAAAAAATCACAAAATTTCTACAGGTTCTGAAAGTAAATGAGCTCACTGAGAAAAATTTCAGAAAGCTTTCCAATTGACAATCATACCTGGCCTTGTAACTCTGGTCTCATAGCATATGTACTTGGGTATGGGGTCCTAGGTCGTGCAGCAGAATTCCAGTAATTAGGGTTGTAGCCAGGATATGGTGACTGGTCCTAAAAGGAAAATACATTCACTTTTAATAATATTCTTACATCGAGTAGTACTCTACCATCAAGAAAGACACATTTAAGTAATCTGCAGGAATATGGATGCACCTGAGTCCATTATGGTACGCGAAATAAATCAGACACATAAGCTTAAACATCACGTGATTTCTCTTATATGAGGAGCCTAAAACATAAATAAAGAACAAAATAAAAGTTACATAAAGGAAGTAGGGAAACAAAATTTTCTTGATTAGGAAGGGGACTGAGACATGGAGGGAAGCAAAGGGATGAAAAGAGAAAAAGGGAAAGCAAAGGGTTGCAAAAGTTAAAATGTGACACACACATTCTCTTAAGTTACTTTTCTTGTGGCTGAGGCAAAATACCGGACATTCAGTTAAAGAAGGAAAAGTTTATTGCAGCTCACAGAGGGCATCACAGAACAGGCAGCAAGCAGCAGGGGACATCAGCAGCTTCTTTCTATCTCTCTATAGCTCATCTAGGGTTCCCACCTTAGGGTGGGTCACACTCACACCCAGTACTTGGCTAAACCAATCAATGGATCACTTTAGTAATCACACAATTTATTTTTATTTTTATTTTTTTTTTGGTACCAGGGATCGAACTCATGACCTTGTGCTTGCCAGGCAGGTGTTTATGCCACTGAGCTAAATCCCCGGCTTCCAATCACACAATCTTAATCTCAGCATTGTATACTCTAGATTTAGCCACCTGTGAAAAAGCCCCACCTCTGACCTCATGAGGCTTTGGGGGGACATCTAGATACAAGCTACAATATACATGTAGCAAGCAACTCTACACAAGGAGTGTAATCATTATGTACTGCAAACATGTACAAAAAGAAAAGGTGGGGATCAAGCAATCAATTGAAGGGGCAAAAAAAACATGTTGTTAGATAATTCTGAGAGTGATAGAGGCAGGATATAGGTATCAAAAAAAGTAACAGACAAAAAGCAACTTTGGCATGGTACACACTCCTGTAATCCAGCACTCACAAGGCTGAGACAAGGGAATCTTGGCAAGTTCAAGGCTAGGCTGGGCTACATAGCGAGTTCAAATCCACATGAGTTATAAAGCAACATCCTGTCTCAAAAAAGGGGAGTGGGCAATAGAACCTGCCATGGCTTATATCTAGAGCTCTCCCCTCGAAGCCTCATAAAGTCATAGGTGGGGCTTTTTAAAAGTGGCTGGATCCAGGTTTTCTGAATTGGACTAAGGGAGTGAAATAACCCACTGATTGGTTTAGCATAATTCTGGATATAGATCATAAGAAGCCCCAACCTGGGCCTGGGTGACACCAACCAAAAGGCTTGAGGCCTAACTGGCGTCAAGGGAAAAGGAGGCTGGCTGCTTTGTTGCACACTGCTTCTGCCTGCCACACATGGACTGTGTTTTCCCAGCCCCTCTGCCATGCTACCCTGCCTTGGAGCCAACTGACTGTGGACTGAAACCTCTCTAGACTAAAAATAAACCTTTCCGCCTTTAACTTTGAGTGTCAGGTATTTTGTCCAAGCAACAAGAAAGCAACTAAGACAAAACCCTGCTATAAAATCATTATTAAAATGATGAAGACAGGTGTGATGATGCATATAATCCCAGCACTTGGGAGATTGAGAAGGGAGGATCATGAGTTTGAGAAAAATGTGGACTACATAGCAAGTTTGAGGTCAGCATGGACCACATACCAATACAGGGCCAGTCTCAACTATATGGCAAGATCCTGTCTTAGAAAAAAAAACCTGATGTAGCTATGTTAAATGGTAAATTAGATGCCTAGAACAATCGCTGACCGGAATTCTGCCAGAACAAATGATATATAAACAAATTCTATGTCAAAATGATTAACAAAACCAGTCATTAATTTCCTTTCTTGCCGGGATTTACCTCAGCAGCATAGGCGCCTGCCTGGCAAGCTCAAGGTCATGAGTTTGATCCCCAATAACAATAAAACGAAAACAAAAAATTTCCTTTTTTTCTCTCCAGTTCCTATCCATCATGACAGGTTGAGTACCCCAATTTGGAAGTTTGAAATCCACAATGTTCCAAATATCAAAATCTGCTGGGTGCTGGTATGATCTCACAGATGAGAAACTTCATGTGCTCACCCGCAGTCAACACCCACGGGCCCATGCAGGCCCAGGGATGTAGCTCAGTGTTACAGTACTAGCCCACCACACGCTAAGCCCAAGATTTGAACCCCAATATCACACACACAGGAGCCGGGGATTTAGCTCAGTGGCACAAGTGCCTGCCTGGCAAGTGTGAGGTCATGAGTTTGATCCCCAGTACCAAAAAAAAGAATATATATATATATATATATATATATATATATATATATCATACACACACAAAAGCAGGTGGATTAAAAATAGTGTCTAAAATTACCTTTAAACTGTGTATAAGGCACACATGAAACAAATAATTTTATATTTAGTTTTGGGTCCTAAGCCCCATAAAATCTCACAATATATACACAAATATTCCGATACTTTAAAAAATCCAAAATATGGGGCTGGGGATTTAGCTCAGCGGCATAAGCACCTGCCTTGCAAGCAGGCAGTCGTGAGTTCGATCCCCGGTACCGATTTAAAAAAAAAAAATCCAAAATATTTAAGGTTGCAAGCATTTTAGATATGAGATATTCAATCTGTATTAATTTAATTAGTGCAACAAAACAATTTTTTTACTCCTATTTAGGACAGATTAACAACTTTGGAGTTTGAAAATATTACTGCTTAAGTTTATTTGAAACACACATCTTTAACACAGATCTTGCCTGATCATACTCTAGTTTTTTTGTTTTGATTTGTTTTTTCATAACTGTCTCTATGGCTAAGCTTTCTGCTGCCAACTATAATTACATTGTCAGGAATAATACAGAACAGTTACCACTCCAATCCAGGTATGGTGACAATGTTTCCAGCCTTCTCACCAACTTCAAATGTTAACAATGATTTGCAAAAAGAAGCCAGTAAATTTCAGTAAGCAACTTTCTCAAAGCTGCTCAGCATCTGTTGTCTAGTTTAATAGATGTATACTTTTTTTCTTTAAATGATTCAAATACTATGGCCTCAGTCTGACATCGATGGTACACTGTTAAGAGAGCTGAATGGAAATATTTGAAATAAGTACATTGCTTAAGCATAGCATATTTTAAATTGTCTCTGGGTATGGTGATGCAAGCCTATAATCCCAGCACTCAGAAGCCTGAGGCAGGAGGATTACTTCAAGTTTGAGGCCAGCTTGGGCTACAAAGTGAATTTTGGGCCAGTCTGAACTATGCAGCAAGCCCTGTTTCCAAAAAAAAAAAAAAAAAAAAAAAAAGTCAACTGGAGTGATCATGTGAGTCCCATGCATTTAATCTGTGTCCCCTAACTGCTTACTCTCATTGGGTCTCCATGTGGCCTTGGCTGGGTAGGCAAGAGCTGTTGTAACTTTTTTCAGATTCAGACTTTTAAGACTTTTCCTGTGTGCATTCTGTGGAGTCTGGCAGCAAACTGGCTCCTATTTGTTTAGCTAAAAGTGCAATTCCTAAGAAAGGGTTGGTGGTGCACCTGTAATTTCAGCACTTGGGAGGCTGAGGCAACACGATGGCCACAAGTTTGAAGCCCACACACAAAGTTCAGGTCAGCCTGAATGACACAGTGAGAACCTGTCTCAAAAAATAAAAATAAAATAATGACAACAAAATGCAATTACTATTACTTGTATGAGCTACTGAAGCCCCAGGAGTTGGATTAGCACAAAGAGTACTTTTGTATCCCTGCGTGAGGTCAACTGGCAGTTTCTGAACCTGTGTTTCCTCCTGGGGTGGAAGTTCAGAAATGAGGTGCACAGTCCACCAGCGTTCCAACAGTGATAAAGGTGGAACCAAGGCGGGACTCATAGCAACTTCTTTCATCAATAGTACTGACAGTCCAATCAACAACAAGGATTTGGTTAGCTGACTACTTCTTCAAACAGTTCAGGGATACAGATTCCTTTTGCCTGAGGAAGGCTAAATTCCACATAGGAACCATATGCTCCAATCAAGCAAAATGTCCATTACCACACAAATTGGTTCCAGAAAGTACCCTAGCAGGCATCTCCTGTAATCTCAGCAATTAGGAAGCTGAAGCAGGATTGTTACAAGTTCAAGGCCAGCATGGCCCTATCTTACAACAAAAAAAATCAAAACACAAAAAAAGGTCCCAATTTGTCAACATCCTCACCAGTACTAGGTACGGGGGACTGAACCCAGGGCCTTCACAGCAAACTACATCTTCAGCCCCTCTATTAATTTTTTATTTAAGTCAAGGGTCTCACTAAATTGCCCAGGCTGGGCTTGAACTTGCAATCCTTCTGCATCTGCTTCTCAGAGTGCTGGAATTACAGGGATGCACCACCATGCCTAGTTGGTTTTGTTTTGTTTTGTGTTGTTTCAATATAGCCATTCCAGTGAGTATAAAATAACATCTAATCATGATTTTGATTTGCAATTTCCTGATGAGTAATGCATCTCTTTATTTGCTTATTAGTCATTTGCATAGACTCTTCAGAGAAATGTCTATATAGATGTTTAGCCATGTCTTAAAGGGGTACATTTTTATTGTTGAATTTTAAAAAAGTTCTTTCTTTCTTTCTTTCTTTCTTTTTTTTTTTTTTTTTGCTGGGCATACTGGTTCATACTTGTGATTCCAACATTTAAGAGGCTGAGGGGAAAGGATTGCTGTGAGTTCAACACCAGCCCAGACTACAAAGTAAGTTCAAACCCAGCCTGATCTACATCTTATATAATGAGTCCTTGTCTTGAAAACAGAACAGAACAGAACAAAATCAAAACAAAAAAAGAGTCAGGCATAGTGGCTCTCACCTGTAAACCCAGCATTCCAGAGGCTGAGGCAGGAGGATAGTTTCAAGTTCGAAACCAGCCTAGGCTACAAAGTGAGCTCAAGGGCAGCATGAACTGTATAGCAAGACTCTGCCTCAAAAAGACAAAATACATAAAC